AACTTTGGATTCTAATGGGCGGAAGGTGTTCCAACCATGTTCGTGCCGAATCAGCTAGGAACAATGGAAGGTTGCGGATAATGAAATCATCATTATCCGCTCCACCAGCTTGGCAGACAAGCCAATAATCCTCGAGCCACAGTGCATGGTTTGTTTCCCTAGAGTATTTTAGGATGTTGGTTGGTGGTCGGTACCTTGGCAGGAAGGGGGCATTGAGGATGTGTTGGCCGAAGGCTAAGGCCCCGACAGGCCAGGGCTCGGACTTCGGTCCTCACCGCTGTTGTAGCATTCACCATGATGAGGGTGATAGCTGTGGCTAGCTCCCTCTCTCAGGTCATCGTAGGTACGCCAGCGGGCGTTGAGAGTGTCACGTGCGTCACGGTTGCGGCCGAGACGCTGATGCACCAGAACTGCGGTGCGCTGCCTGTTGCCTTGTGGCGCCTGGTGAACTGATGCATCCTTGCCGAGGCGCTTTAAGGGCGTGCGCTGGCTGGTGTTGAGCTCACGTCACCAAGAGAGCGAGCTCTCGGCCCGCTGCACCACCGCACGCTCGAGCAGCGTATGAATCTCACGGTGGGCTCGACGATCCTCGGCTGTCATGGGCCCTGGAAGACCACAGAGCAAGGCCACCGCAGCAGCGATGTTCTGGCTCACCTGGGTGAAGTGTGAGAGGGCCTCATCATCCACGATGATCCTACGGTTCACGTCACGGGCCATGGTGCGCGCATGCCCACCGTCTCCGTGGCGCTTGTTCTCTCGATCGAGCTCCGCGCGTTGCTGCTCGAACTAGAGTCACGCTTCCTTGAGCTCTTGGTGTCGGGCATTCAGCTGCTCCACCCGTATGCGAGGTGGGGCCATTGTCTCCCCCTCGACCCCATCATCGAGGCCATTCGTCAGGTAGCCTCCTCTTCGTGGATGCTTTCGATGTGTCACTCGGGGGTACTTGCCATAAAACATTCACGAGATGGGTGATGACTCCCCTCTTGAAGTTAGAGTAGGAGGGTGACTCTGATGCTACCATGAGGAGATCGTGAAAGACTCCATGACATATTTGGTCATCCCCATGAATACGTCATTCATGGGAGATGAAGGTGCGCGTTGCACCACAGGGTGGTCATCGGTCTCTACGGCTTTGCGGAGACCAAATGGGAGCGTTGTCGGGGCGCTCTGGATGAGGTATTCCGGAGAGAGCGGCTCCCCTCCTGCAAGTTGCACCGTGACATTAGCGAACAAAAAGGTGAGGTGGCGCAGGTCTTCCCGAGACGGTTGGGGTCCTAGGAAGACACCGAGCTGGCGCTCAAGCCTCCTGTGGTCGAAGTTGAGGAGCTGGTTGTTTCTAGGGGCGTGGGCCTCCGGTGCGCACAGCCATAGCTCCTCAAGCGCCTTAGTGATTGCGTCGAGGCCGGCGGAGTGGAGAGGTCAGACGGCGGAGGGAGCCATTGCCAACTCTCCCTTTGCTGTGACGATGAAGTCCAGGTCCTCGAAGCGCACGTGCGCGCCCGGGACTCAGCTGAGGTTGTGATTAGCCATCCGAAGCCTGGTGTGGATGTTGAGACGCGCAAAAGGCCCCTACCTGGCGCCAACTATCGGTGTTTCGAGTAAACACCAACAAGTAAATTTGTATTATTACGCGTCTGGGTCGGATGTTGTGCTAAGAGGACCCGAGGTTTATACTGGTTCAGGCAGAATGTCCCTACGTCTAGTTCATTGCTGCTGCATGTGTTACTAGCACTAAAAGTTTGTAGTACGGGTTACAAATGGGCGAGAGAGGGACATGTCCCAAGTCTCTGGTGGAAAGAACGAATGGGTGCCGAGAGCTTGGTCGCTGCTCGACTATGTGTTCAAGGTTTGATGCTAGTGGTTTGGGTGCGATGCGGTGCGATGATCTAATGCGATCTGCGATGCTTGATCTGATGCCCTTTAGTGGGGTGCCCTGCTTTCCCTTTTATAGGCCAAGGGAAAGCATGTGTTACAATGGGAGAAGAGAGGAGAACGAGAGGAAGAGGAAGTTCTTCAGGGTCGTCGGGCCTTTCTTTTCCTCTGTGCAGGCCCCGCTGACATGGTAGGTGGTGACAGGGATAGCTCCACGTCGGGCGCCTATCCGCTGTCAATGCCATGCCCTAGCATTGTCAGCGGGTCATCACGTCCCACTCTGCCTCGACGGGCGGCGCGGTGAACCAGCGTGCTGATCAGCGACTGTACAGGGAGTAGGCAGCATAGTGACCACACATCCGTCACTATGGGCAATGTGAGTTCCCTAGAATGACATGCCATAGGGATGGGTCATGTTGAGATGTGACCGCTCCCTGCATGATGCCAGAAGTTTGACCTTGGGTTGCACTTTCTGGACCGTAGTGGTTGGCAGCGGCGTGAGCTTCCGTTAGGAGCCATGCCCGAGGGATCGGGCGAGGCGGGGCCAACCCTCAGACATTGGGTAAGGTGGAGCCCGCCCCAGGTGTTGGGCGAGGCGGATCGCACGATCTCGGGGTTGGGCGAGGCGGAGCCAGCCCTCAGACATCGGGCGAGGCGGGGCCAACCCTCAGACGTCGAGCAAGGCAGAGCCAGCCCTAGGGGTCAGACGAGGTAGAGCCCATGGCCTCGGTGGTCGGCAAGAGCTGGAGCCAACCCCCGGGGATCAGACAAGACGGAGCCCACAGCCTCGGTGCTCGGCAAGAGCTAGAGCCAACCCTCGGGGGTCGGACGAGGCGGAGCCCGTGGCCTCGATGGTTGGCAAGAGCTGTAGTCGCGCTCTTGACCGCTCGGATAAATCAACGTTGATGATTATTAAGTCCTCCTCTTTGGGTACCCTGGTATTAGTCCCCGACATTAAGTTTATGACAATTTCAAGCCTGTCAAACCCTAGGCTGAGCTAGGGTGAGTGATGGGACATGTTGCCATCATCACCCACATCCAAGGAGCAGTAAAGTTAACCAACCTCATCAAACAATAAAGGGATAATTGTCTGTTGGACATCTAAAGTAATGGTCATTTGCTGACGGACACCCACTTTAGAGCATTTTGCTAGAAAACACTCTAGTTCGGATAAATTAGGCCATAGGACACCACGGACCGGTTGTAGCTGGTTGAGGAGAGAGAACAGTGGTAAAATAACATTCTTTCCCCTGTCGCTTTCTTCTTCCTCTCTTTCCCTCTCTCTTTTTTCTGTTTCTTGTCCCCGCCACCCTCTACGCCTCCCGCACCAATTTCAGCGACGACGGGTATGGGAGGCGGAGGGGATGGCGGGGACAGAAAAGAAAAAAAAAAAAGAGAGGAAGAAGAAAGCGACAAGGGTAAGAATGTCATTTCATCGCAGTTCTCTCTCCTCAACCGGCTGTAACCAGTCCGCGGTGTCTTGTGGCCTAATTTCATCGAACCAAAGCATCTTCTGTCAAAATGCTCCAAAGTGGGTGTCCATCAGCAAATGACCATAACTTTGGATGTCCAACAGACAATTATCCCTAAATATAAATATGGTTCTGAGACTCTGCTACATAAATAATAAATAATTAAATATTAAATAATATTATATTTATATAAATATTTATCATGAATATGGATCTATAAATACGCATGCATGCTTTCAGATGCCCTGACCCCTTGCACCGTGGCAAAAATAGAAATCAATCACTTCGTGTTTTCTGCTAGTAGGAATACCCGAAGAGAGGGGGGGAACAAGGATCAAAAGTTACATCGCCGACCAGCAGAATTAATCAGGCCCTCAGATGAGAAACTTCTGGAGCCTGCCTACTACTACCACCTACAATGACGCGACGAGGCAATTAGCTAAGCGGGTTAGGCATGGTGTCATTACTTCTCAACAACTACACTAGTATCTGTCGGCATCTGAGCAGCCGACAAGAACCCCTTCCTCCCTTCCACCCCAACAGGATACTATATTTGCTATTTTTATACCAGCTTCTAGATTTGCTATTATTCAATTAAAATATTTATTTAAAAAAATGTTCATGTTGGCCTCTGAGTTGCCGACCGGAGCAAAATTAAGGTTATTATTCTAACATCCTATTGGACAAGAACAAAATTAAGGTTGTTATTTCTCGTGTGAACTTCGTAGTTTAGCAAGTAAAATATACTAAACTTCTCGATATGCTCTTTGCACCCTTTTGTCTATGTACTAATGCGCGGATAGCCTCTTTATTAGATCCTACCTGTTTGGATGAGCTAAATAGGCCCTATTGTTTGCCTGATCATTGAAAATCCTTGTAGCATGTAACTTGAAACCAACGTTGCCTTCCACCTTTTTTTTTTTTCTTTTTGGAAACAAAAGCGTGCAGGAGAGCTGCCGATTTATCTTATAAAAGAATACAAGGAACTCAAACTGGCAGTACAATGGTTTGACAACTCTAAAGGATTAAGCAGCAGCAACAACAGTACAACACAACACAAATATAATGAGTGTGTATGTGCACTCTAGAAAATATGCGAGCGCCACTGTAGCGCGCTGTAGCATTTCGTTTGTATTTGATAATAATTGTCTAATAGTTGACTAATTAGGCTCAAAACGTTCATCTCGCAAAGTACAACGTAACTATGTAATTAGTTTTTTATTTCGTCTACATTTAATACTCTATGCATGTACCACAAGTTTAATGTGACTGGAAATATTCTTTTTGCATAGTGCCAAAGTCCTGTATTTGTATCATGTTGTGCGAGCCGGGTTTGCATAGTTCAGTTCATTCACATGGTCCATGTTTTCTTCTTTCTTGTTTCAGAATTTGTGTGCGTTGCGTAACTTGGGTTCATGTGATCGCCTTTGCCCCAAAAGAAAAAAAAACCGAACAGATGCGTGTTGGCTGAAAGTCTCAACGAAGATTCATCTCTGCAGTGACCACGAGCAGAAACGCGTTTAATTTCAGGTGAACGATTTGCCATTGCGCTAAAAATGATTTTTTTTTTCATTCAGAAAACCACTCCCTCCATGGTCGTTACAATTTTATCAAGACGATAGACGAATCATGCCGCGCGGCGTCCGTCATCAATCATCATAGGGCGCAGCGCGTGTGCTTGAACCGGAGCCACCGGTCCCTGAGGTCGAACTCCCAGAGGTGCTCCTGCTGCAGGATGTTGCCGATGACCGACACCCCGGGCCACGAGCCCTCCTGCACGCCGATGCACTTCACCCCGGGCGCCGCGTCGATGACGTAGCTCTTGGCCGGCGGCTCCAGCCGCGCGGACCCGGCGAAGCGCACCTCCAGCTTGGGGATCTCCGGCGCGCCACCGGCGGCCGTCCAGTTGTAGCAGTACTCGAACGGGTCCATGGTGACCCTGGGCAGCCCGGCGAGGTGCTCGCTGAGCGCGGCGACCACGGCCCTGTACGCCGGGGTGGCGAGGATGGTGAGGCTGGTCCCGGAGTCGAGGATCGCGCCGCCGTTCCGGTCGACGTCCCACACGTCCGCGGGGATGTCGAGCGCCTCGCCGGCCACGTACACGGCGTCCACCGTTACGGCGTAGAACGGGCTCATCCGACGGTCGAGCAGCAGCGGCGTCTGCGCGGCGGGCGCCGCGGCGGAGCTGGAAGAGGCGGCGGGGTCCTCGGGCCCGGGACCGAAGGTGAGGTAGCTGGTGGCGTTGCGCGGCGCCAGGTGGTCCACGAGGCAGTAGGAGAAGCGGCCCCCGAAGCGCGCGGCGGCGCGGGACGCGAAGGAGATGTTGCTGTAGCCAAGGCTCAGCACGCCGTCCGAGGACTGGAAACTCTGCCCGTCGTACGTGGCGGTGCAGCCCAGCACGACGCCCTGCAGCTTCGCGCGCCTGCCGCTGCTGTCCCCGCCACCGTGGCCGGAGGACAGCGCGATGGTCGCCGAGTCGGTGCCCACCACGCCACGCGCCGCCGAGCCGTCCTTGTACCTGCCATGCCATTGCCACCACGGTTAGGTAATGTAACGTTAGTTCGCGCGCATCACCGAGAATGTCTATATCACCGCTTGGGTGTTTTTTTCCGACTAGCACACGAATTTTATAGAACGTCACGTAATACATAATAGAACATCAGAAACATCACTCGTGCATTCCTGATAATGTATACATCATTTTTATTAACTCGAAATGCATCTGCCGATTTGCAAGATTATACAGTACTGGAGTGGAACTTGGAAGGCGACACTCGTATATATGAACATGATTCGAATTGGGGACCCTGGCTTTTTTGGGAGACGACAGGAGGCACGAAGAATCGGCTTGTAAGTTACTCTACTCATCTCCGATATATGGTTCGAATTTTTTTGAATCGGAATCGTTTGACAATTAGTGTCTAATCATAGTCTAATTGGGAAATGTAATTAGTTTTAAGATGACGAAAAATCTCGTCATGACTAACAGGCAAGTCTGAATCGGAATCGTTTAGACAGTTGGGAAATGGGAAAGATACGTCTCGTCATGAACTGTAAAGCTTAGCTCAATGAGTCGGCAAAGTGGCTCAAAAGTGTAATCCCAGCTCACACGATGGATACGCCAGGGACAGCCTTCGATATAGTACTAGTAAAATGGACTAGTCCGAGGCTCAAGATTAGCACATTTCTTTCCATTTGAGTTTTCTTTCTGTTGGGATATTACTAAGTACGGTGCAGTTGACCGATTAACTGTAAGCGCTAGCTGGAAAGCAAGCGACGCAGGTAGATGCCACCGGTGCAGTAGTGCCCGGAGCCCGACCGGTCAAAAAAGCCGAGCTGGACAAGGAGATTGTCCAGAGATAGACGGTACCAGAGGGACGCTGAATCAGCCAACGCGTACATTGCTGGAGCAGTACAGTACTGGAGCCTAGAGTACCACTCACGGTAAGTTTCAGAGACCGCTGGACTGGACAAACAACCATGCCATGCTGCTTGCCTGCTTGGATCGGAGCAGCACCAAAAAGAAAAAAGATGGCGTCCAAGTTCCAACACGTCCGTGTATCTCAACTCTCGACGTTTCCAACCTGCCACAAGCACAAGCAGGGTCACGGGGGCGGCGTCCGCCGAGCCAGCATGAGGAGCAAGCACATGGAGAGGCGGTTCGGTTCGGTACTTCGGCTAGGCGGCGGCGGACGAACAAGTTGCTCCATTTTTAAAAACAAAAACACTGGTGGTGTTAGTGTTGATCTCTCCGGCTCGGTCCAACGGTTGAGTTGGCCCTTTGACCTCGCGTTTTGATCGGAGACGTCCAACCCTATATGGTTGAAGAGGCCCGTCGCACTGCTCTATAAAGAGAGGTGGGAGCCGACGACTCTCAGTACGAGTTTCATCGTAAGCCGTCACACTCACCGATAAAACCTAACCATATCTAGTGAGGGGCGCAGCCAACGACGGGAAGCACCATCACCGGGACTCCGTTGCCGTTGGACCGCTACACCGTCACTGGAGCGATGGTTCCAGCTCCACCAAGCCATCCGATGGTTGATCCTCTGCTCCCCTCTCTCTCTTCATAGTCCATGTTCTAGGATATGTTTATCATATTCTAAAGTCAGCACCCTAGATCTACGTCTAATCATCGTGTAATTTTAACAACTGGGAGACCGGAGGCAGGCGACAGCGCATCGGCGGTACGGCAACCTGCGCGCCACCCACGATCGGGGCCGAGCTCCTCCGCGTCGCGTCGTCCAGATCGCGCGCTACGGATCGGAGGGACACGGCCGGGGCCGGGGTCGGGGCCGGTAAAGAATAAATGTGTGCGTGCCCCTCTTCCTCTACCAGGGCAGGGCCGCAACCAGACCACCTCAACAACATTAACGCCGCATCCTAGCTTCCATCCAATTTGGCAGCCTGGACAGCCTCGACTCGTACAACGTACTGCTGGCTGCTGCTGCTGCTGCTGCTTGTGGTTGGTCAATCCCTAGAATCTACTCTACTGTCGCCGTGAATCGTGTTCTCTACTCTAGCAAGTAGCGACCGAGCTTCCTCCCAATGTCTCTCGCTCAAGTACGTCTCTCTACTCCTACCAGTAGCGGTAAATTTGCAGGAGACGCAGTGAAGTGCAAGTAGAGTAAAGCACAAGGCGCATGCAGATGGATCCCAGTGTCCACACTAGCAACCCCAGCAAGCAGAAGCAGAGCCTGCCGAGCGAAGCAATTGAATGCCGCACCCTGCCATGCCGCGGCGAGACCGGCAGCAGCAGGAGCGCGGTAAAAAAGCTGCGCGAGTAATGGCGCGCGCGAGATCCCGACCCACCCGCCCCCCAACCAACACTTACTGCCGCTGCGGCGCTGAGTTGGGGCAGCAAGCCAGCCAGCCCGGCCGGCCGGCCGTGTCGCCACCGGAACCGGAGCCAGCCGTAGCGTGACGATGACGAGATGCGGTGGAGTGAGGAGCACGCGTGCGTGCCAGTGGGTCGAGCGGCACGAGGCGATCGATCGGCAGAGTACGAAGCAGGGCAATGGCTGGAGGGCATCGGGAGTGAGGCGGGGGAGGTACTGAGTACTGACCGGTAGTCGTAGGCGCAGGGGCTGGCCGGCGACGAGCAGTTGGCGAGGGAGAAGGGCACGTAGGAGGTGCACGTGTCGGAGGAGCACGCGATGGGCGCCCACGACTTGGACGCGGAGGTGCGGAACACGCGCGCCGGCGGCGGCTGCTGCGGGCCCGACGCCGTCGACCCGGCGCCGTGGCACTTGACCCAGGTGAGGTCGCTGCCGGTGTCCGCCACTAGCACGAACGGCTGCGCGGGGGTGCCCACGCGGAAGCGCACGAAGTACTGGCCCGTGCCGGTGTAGGCCCCCGACGAGAGCGGCATGGCGAACGCGGACGCGCTCACCTCGGCGGCGCGGCGCCCGCGGCGGGACGCCAGCTGGGACCGGATGTAAGCGTGGCGGTGCACGTCGTCCCTCGCGCGGTCGGACAGGGACGCGTCCGGCGCCGCGGGGACGAGCTTCAGCCGCGGCCACGCCGCCTTGCTCCCGTGCGACTGGTGCCGCCGGCCGCTCGCGGCCGCCGCCGCCGCGGATAGCACGAGCAGCGCTAGCAGCAGGTGGCCGCGCGACGCCATTTCTTGATCCTTGCTTGACTCCCCCTCTTCCTTACTCCGATCCGATCCGATCCCTTCACGTCGCCTCCCTCACACTGTCACACGATGGCAGCAGCAGCGGCGAGCAAGGACACGCACGCACGACCCACGAGGTGAGGTTCTGCTACGCACTGGGAAGAGGAGCAGCTGCTGCCGTTTCGCCACCTCTCGCCACGAGCTTTGTCGCGTCGCGTGCTCGGCTCTGCTCGTATTACTCCCCGATCGAACTCAAGGCCGAAGAAGAGGTGGCCGGAGCAGAGCTTTTTGGCTGCGTCCGTGACGGCGAGGCGAGGGAGACGGCGTGTTTTATAAACAAAACAAAAGGCCGCTGGCTGGCGCTGCGCACGCTGCCCGTGGATAAAACGCGGTTCGGTTGGGTCGGCTCCGTCCGCCCGGTGCCTTGTGCGCGCTTCGTTGGCATTTGGCAAGCGTGATTTTTTTTTAGCAACATTTGGCAAGCGTGATTGATTGCTGGGTCGAGCATTATTTGGGGGTGTTTGGTTCTTTAGTTTCCTAAAATTCATGTCACATCGAATGTTTAGATACTAATATGGAGCATTAAATATAGATTAGTTATAAAACTAATTACATAGATAGAGACTAATTTGCGAGACGAATTTTTTAAGTCTAATTAATCAATCATTAGCACATGTTTACTGTAGCTACACGTGGACTAATTAGGCTTAAAAGATTCTTCTCGCAAATTAATCGTAAGTTGTGCAATTAATTTTGTAATTAATTTATATTTAATACTCATGCATGTGTCAAATATTCGATGTGATAGGAATTTTAGCCCTTATTTCCTTTGCTGCCCGCCGGGGTTCGGTCCGATCGGGTTTCTGGGACGAGATTTGCTCGCTGTACGTCCCCGTTGCCAGCCATGTTCATGTGGGTCTCCTCTCACTTCTAATCCATCCGTGGCTCCGGACGAACTGGATCAGAAAGACATGTTTATTTTATTTTAATTTTCTAAGTAAGGAAAGGAGACATGTTTGTGTATTTATTTTCAAAAAAAAAAAGAAAAGAAAAGGGCATGCTTATGTATGGAAGATAAAGCCAGCAAGCAGAGAAGGCAACCTTTGCAGAATCACGGCGTGGAATGGAATGTAAATCTTACGGCAGTAGCGGTTATTGCGACAGAAATCCAGTTCTCCGAGATCACTGGCTGGCTGATTTCAGTTCTCCGAGATTTGCTCGCTGTACGTCCCCGTGGGCCATGGGCTCGGCCGTTCTAGTTGCCAGCCATGTTCATGTGGGTCTCCTCTCACTTCTAATCCATCCGTGGCTCCGGACGAACTGGATCAGAAAGACATGTTTATTTTATTTTAATTTTCTAAGTAAGGAAAGGAATTGAAAGGCAAAGCGATCTGCAGAAGATGGCCTTGCTAGTGCACAGCAGTCAGCAGATTTCTTGCTGCCCGATTTGGTGGCCGTCCGTATGCCGTTGGTAGGACGGCGAGATCAGCGTTTCTACTGTAACAGCAGCCCGGATTCGCCGTCCTGATTGGCGATTCCAGTCAGAACGATCGATTCCCCAATCAACACGTACTCCTACTATCTATGCGCTGAACCAGGACAGGCATGCAGATGCAGAGCTGCTAGTACCCTGATTCCATGCCACTCGGTTGTTTGTTCTCTTTCGTCATGGGGGTGTGATACGTGACAAATCTCTGCTCAGTGAGGCCGGAACGTCCGGATCAGCAGCTACTGTATATTACATGGCGGGACTCCGCGCGCACGTTGTGCCACCCTTGCCGTGCGATGCTGTGCGTCCAGGTGCAAGCATGTCCACAGGTGACACGCCCCTGTCATGTTTGTGCTCCGGTAATCGACCGATCCCATGCAGCGTTGGCACAGACATGCTGGCCTCCCAGGAGCCCGGAGTCAGCGCCGATGACGGACGCAGGAGCCCACGCGTCAGGACGTGACGCATGCAAGTACGTGACAAGTGGCACGTCGACCAATGAGACGGCTGCACGTACATCCTCTGTTGTGCTGCGAGTGTAGCGTAGCGTACTCCTACGCCTTGCTCGCTCGTTCGGTTGTTCCCCCTTCCCCGCGCGTCGTCAAGGCCGGTGACGCATGCACGCCGCCACGCGGCCGCCGCCGTAGCGCTTGCCGGCTGGCGCCTCGCAGGATGACTAGCACGGGCGCACGGCGCACACAACGACGAAATAAAATAAAACGTACAGGTGTTGAGATCAGTCGGCAAGCTTACCATTCTCCTCGACAACTAATCTTCCTGTCAAGTACGTTACGTACAGTACGTAGGCACGTAGACACGCATGCTCACTCAAATGATGGGTCCAGATTATTCTTACAGCGATGATGAGACGATCGATAGAATATACAGTCAGTGGTGGCTCACGCACGGCGAAAGGCACAGTGATCTTGAGCTAGCACGCACCGAATCCGCCTAAGAAACCGCACCAGAACGACACTGCAGCGCGCGATGAAACGATCCGAGACAGGCAGAAAGAGATGCTCGGCCAGTCGCCATGCTATTGCATACGGAGTATAGCTAGTGAGCTAGTGGGCGCTCCTGCTCTGCTGCTGCCTGGTGCTGGCCAGGGCGGCCAGCTAGAGGGCAACAACAGCAGGCAGGCAGGGCCAGATTGGGTGGATGGATGGACGACCAGGAAAGGAAAGAGAGACTTGCATGGCTTGGCAATTGGCATGGGGTCCGGTGCAGCGACCAGCGAGTCGACACGATGATGGCGCGCAACGAAAAGCCGGCCCTGGGCACATGGGCGCATCATGCATGCTCGACTTGTGCCGCCGCAGACTGCACGTACGTACTCGCGTACGTGCGCTCGCCCGGCCAAGCCTTCGGATACCTCACTCACTTTGGAGTGTCAGTGGATGTGGATCCCATCTTCGCTGTTCATCATGTTCTGCCATGGGGTCCGATCGATGGGAATCGTTTGTGTCCGCTCCGTCCGACGACTGTTATCATCCTGTTTGTTTCGGCTGGACTTATAAACCATGGCTGAAAGTACTGCTGGTTAGTTTGGTGTAAAAGAAAAATATTGTTCAAGTCATGAATTATAAGCTAATTCAGGCGAAACGGACATGCTATTTGGTGGCGCACGTGTCGGGCGCTCTGTTGGCGGCTGCATGCCCGCGCGCCGGTCCAAACGGGCACTGCGCATGCGTCATGCGTGGAATCGGCGCGCCTCGTGACCCAGTGGAATTTTGGTTCCATCGTGGTTATTACTGAACCTGTTCGTTCGGAGTACGTTCAGGCTTTCAGCTCATCTTTTTGATCGGCCCTCCGAATCCAAGAAGACAGGCTTCCCCTTTCGCGTCTGTTAGCCAACTGCCTGCCTGCCTGGGATTTGATTGCTCACGAATCGGTTGCCCGCTTAAACTTGAGCCTCGACCTTTTTTTTTTTTTGATAAACTTGAGCCTCGACCTTTATCTACCTGGACTATAATCAGCTCTGAGCTCTCATCATTTGGATCCACGCACGCGCCGTCATGATTCGCCTTAGGTGTTCCGCTAGCGTTAATCGAGCAGGTGATCATTGTTCATCACTGCTCTTGCACTGGCCTCTAGCTATCTCGCGGCATCATCGCTCGTCCAAATTTGTTGGCCCTGCACACTTCGTTTATATATCCAATGTGGCTCGATCTGAACTCTGATTCTCTGAACTGAATTCCTTGTTCTTCCGGCCAGCCTTCCGGGTATGGACCGGCCGACGAACGACTGAAGCTGTATCACCACAAACTGGCAATTGCTTATTAGGCTAACTTGCTTGCTCTACTAAACTTACCCAGTACCACAAACTGGCAGTTGCTTATTAGGTTAGCTTGCTCTACTAAACCTACCCGGTCAGGGTTCTATTGCCAGCTACCTGCATGTTCTCCAGGTATTGTTCGCTGCGTGCAAGCATCCAAGTTCCCAAATAGAATGTTCAGACTGACTGGCAACTTGGACATACTGGCCCTAACTGCCGATTACAATCGCTGGACCGAACTCGGAACTAACCTGTCTGGCCACATGCCGTGCGGGTATTCTGCGAACCACATGGCAGAGTCGCAATAGAGAAAAGGCCAGACCGGGTAGCGGCGAGCCGGCGAGGCGCGGCGCGGCAGGGATATGATTCGTTCTTGGCTTCCCGCGGATGATCCATTTGACCACCACGTGGTTGGTAGTACTGCTGTTCTGGCTGCATTTTCTTTGCAAAACGGAAACACGTTTAGCCGCTAGGCTGTACAAGGATGGATGGTGGGGAGTTACAGGTCTTTCTTCAGAAGTGAAAGAAGGTTTGTACAGTAGATCACAGCTTGGAGACAGAGTTCTATGTGACATGAAGCTTCCAAGCCAGTGCTTGGAGCAGCAAACCAACAACTACCTATACACGGCTACACAAGTATGATTTGATTTCCTTGGCAGATTGCAGATGCATGTATAGCCTGCAGGATCTTGGTTGGACTTGTTAGGTGACTATAGGAGAGTAGAGACAAGCTTATCTTGTTGAACATCGTCACCTAAGATGCGAGAGGAAGGAGGTAATCAGGTCATGATGATTAGATGTGCATGCAGAGCTGCTGAAGAAATGCTAACAATCTGGGATGCCGGATGGAACCAAGAGTATCAGCTGGTAGAAATTAGGATACATTATCACTCGGTAGTAGGTACAGGAACAGCCTGTGAATGTTCACACAGCCTTTACTAATGACCTCTGAACATTACAACAATTATTTCAGTCTCCAAATGACCTCAAAATATGTAATCAAGAGATGTAACTCTTATGTAAATTTTATCTTCATGTATTTCCATATGAAAGCGTCATATTTAGAATTATGCTGCCTAGCGTGTATGTACTTGATAACTTGTCACAGTACATATGGCGAGAAATCCAGAAAAAAACCACATGATGGAGTGAGAAGTCATTGGGGGCCCACTTTTTTGCCATTTCATGTGACAATTTTTAAAATCGCCAAAATATTTAGATGTTGCCATTTCAACTGATGGT